TTAAACTTTTCCAAAAAAATTCCTTGTCTAGTTGTCTTACAATACTTGCCATTAATGTCATTCCTAACTAGAAGACTAGAAATTAAGTTAGGTTGTAACTABRATAGAGAYAACTTAGTTAAGTAGGAACTAAGTAGGTTGTAACTACTAACTAGGAACTAACTACTAAGTCGGTTCGGTTCGGGTCAGTTTCGATTTTCGCACATGAAAACCCATGAACAGCCCTACTAAGAGGCCTCTGAAAGCCCAAGTTCCAAACAGGGCCAAAAGTAGAATAGGTTAGGAAAGTAGCAACAAGTTCATTTTTAAACATTGAGAGAGAGAACAAAGAAGGAAACTGCTCTTTCAAAGGTGAGTTACCCACCCAAATGTGTTCCCAAAATCTTACAGAATTACTAGAGCAAAGGTCATACCTGATAAAAGGAAGGGTGGAAGAATTGTATGAATAGACTTCTAGGGGGAAGCTCTTGTAGCTCTAGATGAATACTTAGGATTATTTTAGCCCACAAATTATCCTTTTCTTTTGCCAGTCTCCATAACCATTTCCCCAACAAGGCTTCATTCTTCTTCTGCAAGTTACCTAAGYCAAGACCACCATCCTTTTAAGCTCTATTTATCAAATCCCACCTGACTCTATGATCCCTTTTCTCCCCCCCCAGGTTCCCATAGGAAATCTCTCATGAATTTCTCCAACACCCTACACACTTCCTCAGGAATCTTAAACACAGAAAATATATCGGGAGGTTCGCCAAGGTTGCTTTAATCAATGTTATCTTACCATCCAAAGGTAGATGGTTTTTCTTCCATGAAGCTAGCCTTTTTGTGAATTTCTCAATCACTGGATTCCAAAAGTCCTTTCTACTAGGATTATCCCCTAAGGGAAGTCCCAGATATTTCAGAGGCTACTGTGCAATCTTGCATCCCAATATTTGGGCCCTTTCTGCCACCTCTTCGGCCCTCATATTAACACCAATCATACAATTCTTATCAAAGTTGACTTTGAGGTTGGTCACATGTTCAAAGACATTAATCACCCGTTTTAAGTTTCTAACCCACCTTATCTCCTCCCCTCCACAAACTGTAAATGAGTGATCTGAATTCCATCCCTTCCAACTTTCCAACCACTTACCAGACCCCTAGAATCTGCCCTCCCCATAATCCTCCCCAAAACTTCAGCAATCAGGGTAAAAAGAAAGGGGGATAGGGGGTCCCCTTGCCTAATACCCCTAGTAGCTGGGAAATGGTCCACCACCCTACCATTCACCAAAATGGAATAGTGACAAGTCCGAATGCACCCGTTTATCCACTTACACCACCTTTGCCCAAAACCAAAGGACCCAAGCACTTCGAACAACACAGACCAATCAACCAGGTCATAAGCCTTTTCTATATCCAATTTACATACCAACCCTTTCTTCCCATTTCTTTTGAAATCTTCCACACTCTCGTTTGCTATTAGTATTTGATCCACAATTTGCCTATTCTTCACAAATGCACCTTGGTTAGGGGAGACAATTGTGGGGAGAACCTCTCTAATTTTGCGTGAGAGAACCTTGGCAATGATTTTGTATAGGCTATTAACCAAGCTGATGGGTCTGAACTCCTTCGAGTGGCAAGCACCCTCTTTTTTTGGGACTAATGCAATGAAAGTAGAGTTCAGACCAGGGTTGGTTAATCACTCCTCTTTCAAAGAATTCCGAGAACACCTTTTGGATGTCATCCTTAATAATCTCCCAGTAGTCTTGATAAAAAGCCATCGTAAAACCATCGGGTCCTGGGGCTTTAGCTCTATCTATAGAGAAGATGGCATCCCTTATTTCCTCCACCTCAAACTCTCTTTCCAACCAATCAATTAGCTCACTAGGGAGCCTGGGCGAATCCAAACCTTCAATCCTTAATCTCTCATTTAAGGGTCTCTTGAAAATAGATTTGAAATGATTCACAAAAGCCCCTTCAATTTCATTTTGTTGGGTTAAAGTTATACCATCAATCTCCAATTTAGAAATGCAATTCTTCTTCCTTCTACCATTAGCTATAGCATGGAAGAATTTTGTGTTCTTGTCTCCCTCCTTCACCCATTCGTGTCTGGATTTTTGCTTCCAACTGATCTCTTCTTTAAAAAGTAGATCCTTCAGATTTTTCCTCAATTCCCACCTCAACTCTCTCTCTCTTTCCCCAAAGCAGCCTTGGTCTTCCTTTGCATCTAGCTCCTCTAACTGGTTAATCAACTGTCGCTTCTTTTCTTCTGATCTCCCAAAGTGAAGAATGTTCCACTCTTTAATTTTATCTTTAAGCTCTTTTAACTTCCAATGGAATCTCATAGTTGCCCAATTCACCTCCGGGTTACTTGCATTCCACCATTTCTTCACATTCTCTTTAAAATCCGGATGAAGCAATCACATATTCTCAAATCTGAATGGGGAAGGTCCTCTATTTCTAAATTCAGACTTGAAGAGTGAGATTGGCCAATGATCAGAAGTTACTCTTGGAAGGGCCCTTGACACCATGTCTCTCCAATGCTCTTCCCAATCTGCAGTGAAAAGGAATGTGTCTAATTTGGAACAAATTGGATCAACTTGGAGGTTTGACCATGTGAATCTGTTATGTTGGAGTTCAAGTTCCTTGAGTTCAAAAACATTTATAAACTCATTGAATCTAATCACATTGAAATCCCCTCCTAGGGACCAAGGTCCATCCCATAATCTTCTAATATCTTCCAATTCTTCCCACAGTTCCTTCCTTTGTTTGTATCCAGTGGGGCCATAAACATTATTTAAGATCCATTCA